GTGGCTGTTGGTAGCCATATTCTGCCACGAATTTGCCCAATCCCATCACTTTGTTGAAGCCAGTCCCAGTTTTGGTGTGCTGTGCTGAATCTCCCACGACGGCCCCACGCATGACCCTGGCTCTAGTATTATCAGACCGGGAGGGCCATGTGCAACTGGATGCATCTTGCCATGTCTTGCCTCACCAGCGTTTTTCTAAGTTAACAGGCAGCAAACACTGTAAGCTTTCCTGTCAGAGGAGTTGCTGTTGCCCCCAGTTGGGAGTGGGGCTCCCAATTCTCTGCGCCAAGTCCAGGGCCTGCCAACAGCCATGGGCCTTGGGAAGCCTCTTCCCGCTGGACAGAGTCACAGTCTTGCCAAGCTGCCTTTCCACTCACCCTCAGTCGCACACAGCTCTGAAGAAGGGGGCTGGCAGCCATCAGCACAGCCTCCTCGTTTCCATGGAGAGGTCCAGGCCAGCTAAGACTCAAGTAAAGGTGAGTATGATCAAACACAGACTGCTCATGAAAATGCTGTGGAAGCCTTGGCCTGTTCCCGTGCAGCAAGCCTTGGAAACCTCCGGAATGGTACATTGTGCGGTACCAGGAAGCCAAAACCTTGATTTCTATTCAAGTCTCCCTTGTCAGTGGCCAGCTATCAGAAGCTGCAGCACCAAGATCTGATGCTGGCTCTTCGTGTAGGCAGGAAAGTGCCCCCAGCATGGCCCAGCTCGACTCAAGAGCCTGGCCTGGAGTTCCCGAACCTTCTCGGAAGTGCAGTGCTGCTCTGCTTCAGCAGCTCCGAGCACAGGCGTGTGACTCAAGCACGCTTTGCTCATGTGCATCACGCTCCCCTTCAGAGGTTCTGTGGGGGCGGGGTCAGTTGGGCAGAGGCAATGGACGCCATCCCAGCTCCTGAAACCTTGAGAGTCCAGGGAAGGGCGGGAGGACCAGAAGCGAGCCAGGCCTGAGGCATGACCCAGGGGCTTCTATCATGAGAGTCTCTGGCTATGCAGTAATACAAAACAGACTGATCCCATACAAAGAAAGGAGTTCGAAAGCAGCAGGAAGGGAATTTTCAGCATTTTCAAACATTGAATGTTGAACTAAGAGCTGTTGATAATTTGAGCAATGTGACAAAATGTGAGAAAAGATCAAGGAAACAAAGACAATGTTCACAGTTATAAGAAAACTGCAGAAGACCATCCAGGACTCCTTGCAGACATCTATCTGGGCTAAGGGATTAAGGGAGCAATATATTGGAAAGGGTTTACAAAAGGGTCAGATGTGGTCAGACAAGGCTTGTTGTGCCCAGACATAAAAATAAACTCTCTCGGTTTGCACCCCACGGCTACATCACACCTGTGTGACTAAGCCACATTTAAGAGGTAGCAGGGACCTTCCGATGCCCCCTTCTGAAGGTGCAGGCAGGACTCTGAGTGTGGAAGGGGGCTTGGAGGTGTCCTGCCCCATGGCAGCCAACAAGAACCATCTCAGAGAAAGGAAAAGGGGGCGGGAAGGGGAGGTGACTGGAGACACCAGAATAAGAACTCTCCTGAGGCATTACCAGGCTCCGTCTGATGCAGTTCCACTCTGAAGCAGCCCAGCTGAGCAGACAAAAAGGAAGGTACAGGGGCGAGGAGGGAGAGGTTGCCCCTGCTGCCCTCTCCGCCCTACACTGGATGGCCAGAAGTATCCGAACTTAGCAGCTGCGCCTCCAGTCATCAAGGGCGCAACTGAAAGGCTGCATACAAGTCATTATATCTCAAGTCATCTCTGACTTCTGACAACCCCATGAATGAAAACCCTCCACAACAGCCCTGCTCAGCTCTCAGCGCAAACATGCAGCTTCCTTTATGAATTCAATCCATCTCCTATTTGGTTCTCCTTTCCTCTTCCGTCCTTGACTTCTCCCGGCATGATAGTCTTCTCCAGTGAATCTTTCCTTCTCATGATGCGCCCAAAGTACAAGAGCTCAGTTTTGTCATTTTTGCTTCTAGGGAAACCTCTGGTTTGATTTGAGCGAGGACCCACATTAACACTTGATACAAAAGTTGTGCAGAGTTGTTTGGTTGAATTCTGGGTGGGTGGCTTAATGTTATGAGCTGCCCAGAATTTTGCCTATGGGTGGTATAGAAATGTAATGAATAATAATAATGTCATAAAATCTTAGAGTAATAAATAGAGTTGGAAGGGGCCAGAAGGCCATCAGATCCAACCCCCTGCTCAGCACGCGACTCCAAGTTAGACCATCCCGCTCAGATTTCAGTTAAGGTTCTGGACACTGCAAAGCAACTCAGGTACACCATACGAACCGTCTGTCTGCTTCTGCAGAGGCAGGTGGAAGCCCTCCCCATGCATTTGAGCACTCACTGTAGTGGTGCAGCAGGGAGTCCGTGTGGTGCGGCTGCAGGAGTGCGGCAGGGAGAACCTAGAACCATGGAGATCCCCAGGCGACTCTGGGCCAGCCACTGGCTCCCAGCCTAATCTGCCTCACTGGATTGTGATGAAGCTAAAACAGAGAAGATGATTACGCTGAAAGCTGCCTTGGGTTATCATTACAATACACAAACAGTTGAACTTTTATTCTTAAGGTTCTACAAGCGAACATGACTTGGAATGCCACCTCACATAATTAACTGCTAAAATGAGTATGATTTAAGCAGACTCCATGTGTGTAGGATTGACACCAGTTAATCCTCTCGCACTGTTGTTCTGTAGCCTTTATTTACCTATCTGTCCATCTGACTGCTACACTGATGCATTTATGCCTTGCCTTTCTTGCAAGCTCCCCATGCATGGCATACATGACCCTTCTGTAAGGTGGGCGAGGCTGGGAGTCCATGCCTAGCCCAAAGTCATCCAGCACCTCCTTGGCTGAAGGGGGACTCGAACCTGACTCTCCCACATCCCAGCCCAGCAAGCAACATCACACGGGCTTCAGAGCCTCCTGATACATTTGAGGTCAGAACACACTGACAGAAAATTAAGCTATAACCATTTAAACGACATGTTACAAGTTGAGTCAGCACATGCTTACTGAGAACTGAGTCCCACTGGGTCTCCTGGGGCCTGCTCCAAGTATGTGTGCCCCAAACTAGAGCGAGCGCTCCCTTCACAGACCCCAACAGCAATCTCACTGTCAGTTTCCTCCTGACACACTGAAATGAGGATGAACTCCCATCCTCTGGTACTGTATGGGGAGTCTTTATATTCTGAATGTAGACAGAATGCAAAAGTAGCCATTGCATGCATCCACCTCAGACCTAGAGAACCCTTCAATCCATCATTTTTATGTTTATTTGAGCAAGGATAAGATAGGCAGTCCCCGAGTTTCAAACATCTGAGTTACAAACAATTTATGTTTACAAACAAAATGCCAAACATCCAATTAATTTTTTTAAATCGCTGCAGAAAATTATCATCACCATAAAGTGTAAAGCGATAGAGGGGGCCTCCAAAGCATCACCATAGAGAGGAAGTGAAAGGGAGAGAGGAAGGTCTCCAAAGCACTTCTTCCTGCCCCACCCATCTGGAGAGAGAAATCTCACCAGCATTTCCTTGTTGCAAAGAGGAGGTGCTGGTAAGTTTGGCCATGGAGGGCAGATATAGTTTTTTTCACTTTTCCTAACCCCTGTGAATTTGGAGGGCCAACTGTAAAGGATCCAACATACATACAAATTCAACTTAAAGATTACTTTTATCAGGAACAAATCTTGCCCAGGAACTGCCTGTATTCAAAGCCACATTCTATTACCACAGTTTTGCCTGGGGTGGTCAAGTTCACCAGAGGGGTCTGGCACAATTCAAAGGAATGGCTTCCAAAATTCAGTGCTGTAGGACAGTATTCTTAGCAGAACGTTCAATGATTTGTTAACGGTGCAGCGTTCTGTGTACCAGTAGCCAGAGTGGTTCATCGGAGAGCACCTTGCCATGAGGCGCACTCTCCTACCATGTGTGCTCCTGCCCCTTCCCAAGAACCACCCCTCGCCTCTTGATGGCTGTTCCTCCAGAGTGTCCTCCATTCAAGGGCAGGGCTCAGCCCTTTCTTCCCAAGGGGGGGGGGGGGGGAGCCATGCTGAAGCACAGAGCATCCCTGGCTGCAAGCACCCAAGAGAAGGATGAAGGCAGAGCCCCCACACAATCCCCTTTGGGGGAGGGTCCCAGCAGCCAGCCGGAGGTTTGCCAAGGGGCACCCAAGAGAGCAGGCGAGTCGCTCCTCCGAGTGGCACCCAGGAAAGGCCATCTGCGATCAGCAGCCTCCAGCCCATGGGCCTGCTCTGCTCCTTCTCCTCTGCAGTAAAACTGAGCCAGGCAGTCACCCTGAGGCTGTGCCCCCCCCCCCCGAGAAAATTACGGAGGCGGTTCCAGAGCAGCTGGCGAAGAAGCGTGTCGCTGAGCACCAGGGAAAGCGCCGATTCGGGGCGGGGTCGCGAGCGTCTTCCCTGATTTGGGGCGGGGAAAGCACAACTGCAGGGCACAAACTAATTAGGTTAGGTCAATAGCTGCCTAGTGCAAACGCTGCAGGAGCGCGCACGGAAGCGAGCGAAATCCAGGCGGCGGAGCGGGCGAGAAAGGCCAGTGCGGCGCGCCCCGACGGAGAGCGCCCTCCTGCCCTGCCCGGGCACCTGCGAGCACGTCTCCGCCCGCGGCCCGTCGCTGGCGCAGGCGGGAGCTGCCCGCAGGTGCGGCTCCGCGTCCGGCGCCTGCCCCCTCGCAAAGGCCCCAAGGGGCTTGTAACCGGGCGGCCCGTCGCCTCTCTTCGCCCCCGCCGCGAGGGCGCCCACCCCACCCGCCGCGGCCTCAGACCGACCTCCGCGCGCCTCCAGCCGGCGCAGCGCCGGCGCCGCGGTCGCGCTTCCCTCCGCGGGCCGAGGGTCGCGAACGAGCCGCGGCCGCGTCGGGAAGGTCACTGGCGCGGGGAGCCGCCGCTCCCCGCTCCCCGACGCGGCGCGCAGCCGGTGCTGACCCAGTTCCGCGCCCGGGCGCGGAGCAGCCCCGCGAGAGCCGAGCGGCACCTACCTGCCCACGGGCGGCCGGCCGCGCAGCCGCCGCCGCCGAGCCTCACCGGCGCAGGGGTGCCCATCCTCCCCGGGCGGGCAGCAGCGGCCCCGGCGCTGCCTCCTCCTGGCGGCCTGCCCGCGGCTGCCGGGCGCGGCGTGGCGGCCGGGCTCCCCGCCCGCCGGGGACG